TGTTGGAGATGGCCCATACCAGCGTAGGAACATGCAATGCCACACTGGAATGAAACAGAAAGCAGGTATTGGCAACTGCCCTGCAGTCTTTTTCCATTCATGTACAATACCCTTTCTTCATATGGTTCACAAAGTATTATGCTCCACAAAAGCAATTTCCTCGAACCTCATTATTTTTGGCAGCACAGTCATGAACTGAACCTTTTACTAATCCAGGGGTGGAACTCATGAAATGCATTTGGGAGCAGTCACGGGAGCAGCTGAAACAGCTGTTTTGGAGCAGGTTGGGAGCAGCTAAAACTACGTTCTGGAGCAGGCTAGGAGCAGCTCAGATCAGATTTCATTGCACTTCAGCTTGTGTCGCAGACAAGCACGGGAGCAATTTCAATTGTGCTTAGCAGCAAAGATAACATGAGTGGTTCGGAACCTCGGCATAAATGGGATAACAGTGTAACAGATGTGAAAACTTGGCCTTAGTGAGAACCAAAAAGCAAGTACCATATGTTTCTGAAGATAGTGTCCTTGATATTTTCTGAGTGGCTTTCAGCTGCTCAAAATGCAAACCACCAAAAAGCAAGTACCATGTTTCTGAAGATAGTGTCCTTGATATCTTCTGAGTGGCTTTCAGCTGCTCAAAATGCAAACCAGCACTGCTTATAGCACAACCCCAATGAGCTCGACATAGTAATTATATGTGCAAACCACGTGACGTGCGTAAGCAACGTACATGCAGTTGCACGGAGGAACAGGGCAACAAATTTTGAGTTTATCCTATTGCACAACTCAATATCAAAGCAGCAGACTATGATTAACGGAGTTGTCGTATTCGAAGCGATGAGCCGGAGCAAGATTAAAGTATGCCGAGCAGATCTACCGCTCAGGTGAGGGCTGCTAGCCGGCAAGGTTTCGGATTGAACCGCGTTTTAGTTCAATCAAATCACGATTTATCTTGCAGGAATGCGGTTCCAACTTGTAACGATGAAGCACTAAAATGAATCTTTTGCTAATGTGTTTTTAACTGGTTGACGTACGGAACCCGGGCTGAAGAGCCTCAGGCAATCTGAAGCTTCAAGACTCGATCTCACCTCGGCCGACTTGCTGAACCGCTTATGGTTGAAGAATAAGAATCAAGTCGCAGGTGATGCAGCGCTTGGGATCCGGCTCCCGAGTTTTTCGCGCGCTTCCGACTCGGGATACACAGGGAAAATAAACGGAACAAAAAATTGCAAGGCCGACCAAGCTAAACGCGCTCATTGTTGCCAATTGAGTCGATAAAAACCGAAACCAAGACAAAATATAATTTCTTTGGCGCACGTTGTGCGATTGGGAGCACAATGGCGCGAGGTATTGGCTGTGGCACGGTTTCTGCAAAATGGCGCAGGATGGCACAGACAAATGCGTCTGGTGCAAATTGGCGCAAATGGCACAGTCGTTCCACCCCTGTAATCACTGAACTCATTCCTGAAAGGAGCCTCCTGGAAGTTTCAGAGTGGCAGCCAGACGTTTTGCTAACCGATTTAGTTTTAAAGCAGATGTAGCAATATCTGTTGCGCTCAAAAAGGCATGTAAATTCTGAAAACTATATATCTACAAAGAAAATCATCAAGGATGTTATCCCAAGAACCACGTGCCATCAGATTCAAGTTGCTGGATACCATGAGTAAATGTGCGTGGTATAGGAGGGTGAAAGTAATGAAAATCAAGAAAACAGTAACATCCCCATATTCAGGGCAATGTTCCACTCCAGCAACACATACCGTTGTGATCACGAGCATCAATTTTCGCCCATAGACGTCCGATAATGACCCAATCATGGGTGCTGTAAGGAACTGCAGGAATGAGTAGAGCGAGCCAATACAGCCTAGAAAGATAAAAGCAATAGATTAGTAGTAGCAAGCACATACCATAAAATGAGTGATATTTTGAAGAGTGACTTAAAAAGAAGCTGAAGCATTTTTCAAAAAATCTGAGTTAAAAGTGGACTTCTATAACTTTTTGTCCCATGAATTCAGTTATTCCACTTATCTTGAGCATAAGTAAACGTAAACGGCATTCATTTTGAAAAATATGTGCAGCGACTGCTGCTGGGCAGGCAGCGATTCTCTCTGCCGCCAGTTATCTGTCCGGGGCGTCGTGACGTCATCATCGGCCTCCCCGGGCCAGCTTAGTGGCGAGCAAGGGTCATCTGACCCCGCTGATGACGTCACTTTTGCTAGTTTTTCACTCCGCTCTCGCGCTTTCCTACCCTCAGCACGCCGCAACGGGTGGGTCTGCGTTGAAATTTTAATTGGCTATGACGACACTCCTACCAAGATTAAAAGAAAACTTAAGACACATCATTTTTAAGGTGTCTACATTACAACATTTACTGTTTGTTTGAATTCAAGGACCTCTTCAGCTTCCCATTTAAAAGGAAACTCCGGTCAATTACAAGAAATTTAAACAATGTGTGATTATATATCCTGAGGTAGTAATAAACGAGTTAATGTCATTTATTTAAAAAAAAAAGCGTGGTATTTTTTTTCCAATCTTAATTTTTTAAGTTCACCACAAACCTAAACCGAAACCTTGCTTGTGGCCGGCAACGTCAATCCTGTGTCGTCACCCACAAGCTCCAACCACGAGGTACAAATTGTGACGTCCCGTACCAAGCACCCGGCCACAGCTCGGCCAAAGGGTGAAATTTAACTGTCATCTGCAACGACCGGCAGCCTCCAGCGCCATCGCGACTGCAGATTATTTTAGCGCAGCAAAAGGCAAGTTTTCCTAAGGGATTGTTTTGAAAACATTAGTAGAAAGTGAAGTTCAGTAAACCACACGTAAACATGTCGAGACGGGTTTGTATAAGTATGCCGTGCTCAACGTCGCAAACTGGCTCTCGCACGCGATCGACGCTGCCGGCGATGATGCATGCCCGCACGAGCGCATTCACATTCCACAAATCACGTGGCCAACAATGAGCACGCTGCTAGCGCCGTCTGTCGAATTTGCTTGAAAATGTACAAAACAAGCAAACAAATATTCCTGAGCGCCCAGAACATGACATAGGTAGCGCAGGGTGGGCTGCGCCAACGCGGTGGTATTGACTGTGCTGTTGACTACGCCGCGCCTTGCCTGCTAGGATTAGCAGATTTGGGTCATTTAGCACACCTCAAACCTTGAAAGTTTCAACTTTCAGGGGGAATTACATCAAAATATTTGGAAAACAAACCACGAATAAACCATAGTTCCAGCATTGCAATCTATAATACAGTGCTATAAAAAAAGTGTTTTTTTATTGCAAAAATGAACTAAGCACCACCAAATGCTCAGTCTCCTCCCAAATGTAGCGCCATTGGTCCGGATCAGATGTCAAAGTTTCAGAGCTTGCCATTATCTGATTCAAAAGTTATAAGCAATTTTCGAAAATTTTAAATAAAAAAAAAAGGCGCTTGTTTCTGGTAGCCAACGCCAGTCATCTCCACGCATGTGTGGGCCTAGTTGTCCGCCATTCATTTATTCAATGAAAATTTCAGAAAATCACTTACAACTTTTCAGTCAGAAAACGGCAAGCTTTGACAATTTGGCATCTGGTAAAAACCGCTAGTGCTGCATTTGCATGAAGACCAAGCATTCGGCAATACATATTTTATTTTCGTGGTGAAAAAGAATACTAATTATTTTTTGCAGACTCCCCGTAGAATTCCGTCAATGTTTTTGGCAAATGGAACTTTCCACATCTTTGGTTTCTCATGTGTTCAAGGTATCATTCTTGTCATCTGAGGAGAACAATCTTGCCTAGTCTCCTGGAGTTCCACTTGAATGGGTTCAACTTTATGGCATATTCTGAATTACTCATTCGTTCCCGGTCTATTCTGAGAAAGCTGCAAGCGAGAGGTTATGACTTCGAATGCTTCATTTCACCTTAAAGGAGCTGTGCAACAATTTCAGTGGTTTGCTTAAACAACTGTGAAAGTTGGTATCTTAGCCCTTCTGAAGTAAAGACAAAAAAAAAAAAAAAAAACGCTTTTGCCTGCATGTCCAAGTTTTTATTTAAAAAATGACAAAGAGAGTTTTTTGGCACCTCTCAACTCCTTCACCATCTTCCGAGTCACTTGCACTGTGACGCGAAAGGGGGACGGCCGGGGTTCCGGTGAAGCTCTCTCTCTAGCGCCATCAGTGAGCAGCGAGAACTCTGACCACGTGGTCACGTGATCGCACACGGTCGGCATTGCCTATATTCGTGGTGGCGCTTAAAGCCGAGACACCAGAAAACGGAAGGAAGAAAGTGCCAACGTGGTTGTCTGGATCCGGATCTGGCCGTCCGGCTTCTGGCAGCTCCTCGCAGTAGCAGAGAGCAAACAGTTTTGTTGAACTCGGAAAGATGGTGCCCATGAAAAACCGTATCATACAAATTTTGTCGATGATACCAGGTCTTTTATGCATTTATTTATTTATATATATACTTTTTTTTTCATTTGCTTGCTGTTTGCTACAAAAGGGGGGGCATGGACCTCATCAAGCCGACATATGTCAAATTTTTGTTCTGCCTGCAGTGCCTGTATTATTGTACAAACACAATAAAAATGACTGACTGAAAAAAAAAAAAAAAAAAGTTGGAACGACAAGATTTATAGAAAAATTACCTTCTATTGAGCAGGTAGCTGCATTACTCTCTATTTTTTTACAAGCCCACCTTTAACGTCACGCCGCGTGGTTCTCCTAGCAGCCGCTCGCGGCTGCAGGTCGGGAAATATTATAATTTTTGCCTCACGATTATGTGGCGGAATTGCAACATTCAAAGGAAGGAAAAATACTTTCTGTCCTTTGTGACAAGATAAACAATGTGAAAAGCGCAAGATGTAAATTCTTTCAATGTTAAAATCGTTGCACACCTTCATTAAAGCAGCGAAAGATATGAGGCTAAAGGTTGAGTTCCTCCAATACAGGACAGATCTTGCTACACAGAAGCTTCCAGAACAAGAGCCTACATTTTACAATCTTGGTTCCACTACTATATTTCAAGTGAAATGTAGAACAAGAAGCTCCAGCCACACAAAAATACAAACACAAAGTATGATCTTTTGAAGCCTTGCACTAAGCTTTGCTGGCATGCGAAATGGAGACTTCTCACGGCAGTGGAAGGGTTAACGTAGAGACAATTTCAGTCTTTAGATATATTGACATCATAAATATTATTTCTGAAAATAAAACTGCAGATTCATACTAGCATTCTACACATTATCAAAATAGACAGTAACCTACAAGCCCTTTAAGTAAACATGCCAGACAACTTAAATATAGCAAGTTCTAGCATTGCCATTAAATATGTTATAAAATAAAAATATAATAAGACTTTTGTTACTGAATATTTTTCAAAATAGTAGTACAAAGGCATAAATACTGTATAAATAGCATCTGCTATAGTACATGCAGCTGTAAAATAACAAAGAATTGGCACAGACAGGGCACAAGACCAATTGTGTAAGTTTAACACACAACACTCTACCACTAACTACCCTCTGAATGTGTTAAGTGTTCAACTACATAAAGCTTTGTATACCTCCAAACAGGACTTTGTTCTGGTTGCTAGGCACTCCAATGAAGTCCTGCAAGGATTGAATCTGGCCTTCAAGCCAGGGATACAACCCATTCTGTAAAACAAAAAAGGGGAAAGCAAACAGTGAGACAAATACCACACACACCTGAGACCGAAAAAGAAAGACAAGGGGTGTTTCATTTTACCCCACTTTTACTGAAAACTGGGTTAATCTAGACATTGTCGCTTGTCCGGTCAGATCGGTAAAAACCAAGATGGTGGCCAATAAAGAGCTTTGAAGGCAAGGTGAACAGAATCAGAGAAAGCACATTTATTTTCGCATGATATCACCGTCATTGCCACTGGCAGTCTTGAGGATGCCGCACCGGGGCAAATATTTTCGGCTGATGCTGGCACTTAGGAGGGGGTGCGCGCTTAACATTTAATTTGCAGAATTCCCAAGTATGGTATGCGCTTGTAAGAAGTGGGTGCAATTCCACGGTATTTTACGGTAATATTAATGGAGGCTGTGTTACACAAAATAGAACAGTAGAAATATCTTAAAATTAAATGTTTTACTTTGTTTACAATTATTACCAAGCTCACTTCTTACTTATTTCTTCCAGATCCAAAGAATTGCTGAAGTATAATTTCTAAGTGCAATTCAGAATCAACTTTATTTAAATTTAACATTTTTTTTACTTTTAAAGCACCGAAAAGGAGCTTCGAAGTCATTTCAAGAGCTAGGATGAACATAATGTAGCAGCAAACCCTGAATATGTCAATTTAATCTCCATCTAATCTTGCTAATGGCTGCCAGAGCTGTAAAAGTAACAGATTTACAGTTACATAAAGTGGAATGTAATCAAGTTACAATTACCAACAGTTAAAAATGTACTTAACATAGTTGCATTAAAGTTACTTGGAAAAGATCTAGAAGTTGTGTCAACCTTATTTGGGCTTAGTCATTGCCGACTTACCACTCCATTCCCAGTGGTGAAAAAGATAGCAGCTGAATCTGGTTTCAGTTGAACACACCACTCGTGATACATTTAGAGGCCATTGTATAGGGTGTTCCAAGTCACCAGGCTCGATCTAAAATGAGCCGTAAAAATCGACGCCTGCACGTAACAATCTAAACTTTTCGTCAAAGGTGTATTTCACAGGTCGTTTTTGTCTTGTAAAATTGCAAAGCGTAGCTCTCTTTCTGTAAAAAATAGGGCCAAGAAACTTGCAGGGGTCAACGGCGGACGGCGACACCAAGTCGAGTAGCGGGGCGGGTTTGGTGCTCGTATTGATAGATGGCACTAGCTCCTTATCGAGACTGCTCGCGACCACCGTGGTTTATTAAAAGGAACATAACTTTTTTGAAATGTACCTTTGGTTAAAAATTGAATGCAGACAATAAAAGGAAAACCTGAAGGAAAAAAAAAAGTGTTTGCATAACGACAGCGCTTTTGCCACCAACATATTTTGTCTGCGTGTCAAATGCTTTCATTCGGTGGTCGGCTACACCTTCAGACGCTGCTCCTGATACCATCTATCAATATGTGCGCCAAACGCACCCCGCAACTCGACTTGGTCGTCTGCATCGCCACCTGCCGTTCACCCTGGCAAGTTTCTTGGCCCTATTTTCTACAGAAAGAGAGCTCCGCTTTGTAATTTTACAAGAAAAAACCGACCTGTGAAATGCACCTTTGACGAAAAGTTTAGATTGCTACGTGCTAGCATTGATTTTTACAGTCCACTTTAGATCAAGCCTGGTGACTTGGGACACCCTATATAAATGAATAGCATGTATTATCAAACCACAGGTCAGTATGGACTAAAACCTGCATCATATGCTTCTAAGCATGTGTTAAAAACTCCTGAAATATGTAGTCAGATGTGATGCACATTTTAAGCACTTAAACTTTTAATACTTGAAGTCTGTCAGTTCCAAACTAAGTTCAAACAGTTCTATGTTTTAACTTACAAATAGAAACAAATTAGCATGAGTCAGACCAGCCTAAGCAGTGGCAGCTTGATCCTTTTGATGAAATATTTTTTTTATTCATTTCTTTTAGAAATTACAGATTGTCTGCAGCATCAAGGCAAAAGACCATGTGGTCTGACGAGGCCTCAATGCCGCTTTATAGTAGAAATACAAGAATAGTTACTGACGACAACAAAACAAAATATCAAAAACGCTCTGATAAAATTACATTTTTCTGCACTAACAATAGCATTACAACAACAAATAAAAAACAAATAAAAATAAATTGTGAATGACAAGTTGCAGACGAACGATTCATACCAAACAATCACATCAGTTTCAATTTGATTTTCTTTTTATGGTTCTATTCCTATCAAGGTTTCTTTCAGTAGGCATTTAAATTTGTTTATTGAAGTACTAGGTGTGATAAGTTTTTGAAGGTCACTACACGTGTTTAAAGTTAAATGTTATGAAACATAAAGCTCAATACACATAGAGGTTGTTTTCATTTACTTTAAACCAAATTACCAGAATAGCAAAGACAAATAAAGGAAACTACATTGCATATATGTGGCAGCTGAACAGAATGCACTACACAATCAATGAGTTTAGAAAATGTGTGGCTCTCTTCTGTGTTAATCAATTAGCTCATATGCAGAAAAGAGCCTTTTGAAATGCCAAATATACAACATTTCAGCTTACGGTGAACTGCAAAGGCCGCTAGAAGCCATAGAAGCTTATCCAATGCCATGTGAGTGTTACATGACCTTTGGAAGGGGCGCAGCGATATGCAGCGATATGCAACAATATGCAGCACGCAGTCATGCGATACGCTCGCTGCGCTGGATTGACTGGAATGGTTCGTAGCATCTGCTGCGGTCCATTGTAAGGTGAAATGGATAGCGATGGGAGCTCATGATACTACATACAGCACCACCTGGCTAACACACTTTTGCTTTATATATACATATCAAAAAAAAAATAACAGATTGATCAGAAGATGCAGAAAGTGGTGCAACTTAAATTTCTGCACAGGACAAGCTTTTGCTCATTAGATATACAGCTAAAAAAAAATCACGTCATCACAACTATCTACTCAGCCATTGGTACTCCATCTGGCTACAGTCTACTGATGGTTGAATGAGGTCAAACAATGCACCTTGACTATCACCACGTCTTTTGCATTCGTGCAAAAAGCTCAGCCTACCCTCAGAACAACTCGTCTTGTATTGAGTCAACTTGATTGTAGTTGGTTGAACACAAGTCCATGGCATTAATCTAATGGCAGTGATCAGATGTTGAGCCCTCGGATAGTTCGGCAGTGCCATTTCGTGAGCTCAAACAAACCATGCCTCTTAACTTTCTCGACTGTCGAAATCTTTTAGTTTTATTTGCCAAAGACTCATTCCCAGCTTGAGCAGTGAAGCAATGTCTGGATTGTGCATTTACATGCCTATTATAAACAGTCTTGGGTAGTAACGCGTTACTGTAATTTCGTTACTTTTTTAGTAACTTGTAACTGTAACGAGTTACTTTTTAAAAATGTAACTTGTAACTGCAGTTCTATCGAAATAACGATGAAAGTAACGACGTTACTTTTGTAACGTCGTTTAAAAAATGTAACTTGTAACTGTAGTTCTGTCGAAATAATAATGAAAGTAACGACATTACTTTTGTCATTACTTTCCAGTGTTTTATGAATAATATATCACTGAATGTGTGCAATTTAGCCATTCCTTGCACTTTCCAAATCGTCTATTCCGACATTTCGAGTGTCAGGTTAGCCTTACACAAAGTTGTGAATACGTTCTTTCTTGCGAGTCACGACCCGAATATAGCCATGCGTGGATTTTATAAAAAATTATCTGGTTATCTTTACGTACGCGCTTGTACTTTGTGACTGAACACTTACATCTTAGTGTCTTGAAGCACTATGTTGTGGTTTTTCTTTTTTCTGTGCAAACGCTTTTTAATCGGGTGAATCAACCGTGAAACAACAATACACGTTGAGGGTACTGTGCATGTCTCGTACTTTGATTAGCGCCACTACTCCGCACTGCGCATGTTTCGTATTTTGATTTGCGCCACTACTCTGGCGTGGAAACTTTCAAGCACTAACTTCGAGAAGCAACTGCTGTTAAGTTACAATATGAAGTAAAAGGCGTACTTTTTAATTTTATGCAATTAAACGTTGTGAGAGGCATTTTCTAGTTTTTTCTAACATATTTTTTGTGTTATAGAAAAGTAACTGAAAAGTAACGTCGTTACTTTTTAAAAGTAACTGTAACGAGTTACTCTTTTGTTGCGGTAACTGTAACGGTAACTTGGCTACCTTTTTTCTGAAAGTAACTAACTGTAATGAATTACTTTTTAAAAGTAACTTACCCAAGTCTGATTATAAATATAGCACAATGACTCATTTGGTGATAAAACATGCTCACAAACAAGTGGGTGTTAGCATAAAATCTGCCATTTTGTTCATCATCGAGACCTGAGCAATGAGATGTGCTCCTTTCTAGATCTAAGATAATTTAGAGAATAAATGCATCTACTGAGAAATCAAACTATAGTTATTCATACCATACCCGGTTCCACTAAATTACAGTATTGAGATATATAAATTATATGCAACGTTTAGGGGGTTCATTGGCCCCAGTTAGTAAAACACCACACTCGCTCAAAATCTGTCAGAGCATACATAAAGTAACCAGTGGCAACAAGCTAGTCTTATGGAAAGGCAGTCAACTTAAAGAGTGAAAGACTGTTGGCCTCGTGTTGCCAAGTGAGGTGAAAGTTCCACGTGAAAAAGCTACGGATGCAATCGGCAGCGTCGTTAGAAATTACAAAAAAAAAAAAAAAAAAAAAGTAACGGAGTTTCCTTTACAGCACTAGCGGCTGCTTGCTACAGTCATACGAGCATGACTCCACACACATGAGCAAACAGGTCTATGGAAAAGATAGAGGAACAGTAAACAGCTGTGCCTCCCTGTCCCACTTCCCAGAATCAATGTATCAATGCAGAAGCCGGAAAACGCGTGCGACATTTGCCACAGATGCTGCACGCAAACGCTCCGATCGTTACGCGCCGAACATCCGCCGTGATCCCCGTAGCCGTCATGCACGGCGGCAGCCGTCCCGACACACGAAGCCCGTTTTCAGGTCAAATGGTAGCGCCGCACGCATTCCTCACCTTGTCGTGGCGGCTGTAATAGTCGAGGATCGAAGGCAGTAACGGTAGGATCACGGTGAAGCCCAGCAGGTCAATCACCAGATAAATAAATATCACAAATACTGTGCGAGGAACTCGCTCCGCCGGAGACACTGAAGTCGTCATGCCTGCAAAACGGATAGTGAAAGGGTACGGGCTTAAAGACACATGCGAGACGTGAACCTGACATAAGCCAGATCGCTTTGCCACTCGAAGAACTTGGCAAAGCCAAAGGGATGGTAAACTCTCACCTGCTCAGAATGCCACATCACAGGATCACGAAGAAACGGACGAAATGACGAACGTCCTCTATAATCATACGAGCGACGTTCCAACACTTCCACAGAGAGAAAGTTCATGCGATAGAGAGGAACGCTACAGAGCGAAGAACCGATATCACTTTGTTTAAAGAGGCTGAGGATCGCACTGCCCGGAGGGCTGGGAGCACTCCTTATCACCCTTGATATAACGCACACGCATTCGAACCGAGGACCCAAGGAGCCGAAGTCACACAGAGATACCAAGAGTACAGTCAACGTTCCCTTTCCATCATCCTGTCTTATGAGGCGTGTGCGTGTGCGGTGTGTGTCAGTGTGCCATGTGTGCAGTGTGCAATCTGTAATGCACGTAGTAGACGCACGGGTGGATGCATAATGCATGGCGACTTTTCTTCGGATCAGGCGGTGGCTTGCGCCACCTAGCCTATTGGTCTGAAGCGCCTGAAAGCAGCCACGCCAGCCACGCGCTCCGGGATCTTGGAGGTCACAGAGCAGCTGGCCTCCGAGATCCCTTGGGCAATTTAAAACTTTGTCCTTCTTTTGTCCAAACCAGTCGCGACGTTGCCCTTTCTTTTCAACGGTGACACATGGTTTTGTTTACTGATGCTTGTCAATTTTGTTTTTCTGTCCTTTCCCGCGGGTTTGGTCGCAGAAAAGGAAAGAGAAAGCGTGAAAAACGTGAAAGAGAAAGGCAAAGTGAAGCTGTCACTTTGCCTTTCTCTTCCACGTTTGGATGTTTCATAGTTTTCTCTCCCCAGTCTCGGGCAATTTAAAGAAACGGTAAGGCCTACAGAGTGGTCCGACTAATAATAGCAGGGAAAAAAAAAAAAATCTTCACAGCATTAAGTAACGAAGAAACCAGGTTGGAACAAGGTTAGAATTTATAAATAAACCAGAATTTTTTTTTTAGACCTCATTGTCTTTTTGCATAACAAGTTACATCACAAAGTGCCAGCTGAGCACTGCACGGGCCTGAATTTCTAGGCCCGGCCCGACCCGAACCGGCCCGGTAGAGGCACGGCCAGGGCCCGTCCCGAACCCTACAGAATATTTAATTTCCAGGCCTGGCCCGACCCGGCCTGGAAGAGGCCCGGCGAAAAAGTTTGCAAGCTTTAACCCCCCCCCCCCCCCCCCCCCCCCAAAAAAAAAAAAAAAAAAGTTTAAGCACAAAGTGAGCATGTTTGATTTATATTTATTTTAAACTTTAACCGAGCTTTTTTTTTTTTTTTTGACACGAAAAATATCTTGATGTTGACGATGTATTTTCGAGAATATGGACGAAATATGCACGTCCATAAATGATTTTGAGAGAAAACAAAAAAAAAAAAAAGAGCAATTTTTTTATTTACTGTATGTATTTCTTGAAAAGATATTGGGCTTTTCGTTGTTCAATTCGTTTCACAGAGAATTTTCCTCTCTACATGTTTCTTTTTTCTTTTTGGTGTGTGTGTGTGTGTGTGAAGAAACAATCACAATCACGCTGGTGCATTTTCAAACCCGATGCAACACAAAATGAAATTGAAAATGCAAAACAAGAGAAGGGCAAACTACGGAGAGTCCTATGGAGCATAGTTCAGCTCGAGTCGAACGTCGTGAATCACCCTTCGGGTCGCAGAGGGCGGCGTGACAATGTTCATGTTCCGTCGGGCAATGGCTCGCAGTTTAAGTCCCCTCAGGTAGCGAATAATCTTGAGGCCTGTGACGATGAACTCGTTGACAGTAAGCAGTAGTAAAACAAAAGCTATTATTTTTCGTCCAAAAAATAAACCTGTAGTGGTGCCTAAGCTTCTCCGTCTTAATTCGTCTCGAATTGAAATAGTCAGTTGTTTTAAAACTCTCGGAGTATTTTTTTAGTGAAAATACGTCCTGGGATAGCCATGTCAACTATAATATTCCAAAACTGGCTCGCGTGGTAGGGATTGTGAATTGCTACCGTTACATATTGCCAACAAATGTGAAACTCTTGATCTATAACTCTTTGTTTTACTCCCACTTAGCCTACTGCTACCTCGTTTGGGATACATCAACGTTAAGTAATATTGAAAAACTATTCATACTACAAAAGAAAATACTCAGAGGTATAGGTAATGTGCCTTTTGATTTTCACACTGCTGAATTATTTAAAACCTATAGGATAATTGATGTTCACAAATTGTATTCATATCGACTTTGTACCAGTTTTAAGAGTGAAATAATAAAGGGCACTTGTTTCTTACAAATTCTTGCATTGTTGGAGGAAAATTCACCAGTGTATTCTACTCGTCACGCGGAGAAGTGGAAGATGGTTACTCAGCGAACCAACTATAGCTCTCAGATGCTCCAATTTACTCTTCCAAATTTGTTAAATACTTTGTGGAGTAGTAATGTTTCCCTTGAAAACTTGACTTTCAAAGACTTGCGTGGATTTTTTTGTACATGATGCATTATTTTCATAAAACGTTGTTTGTTTTGTTTTCTTTTTCTGTTAACAACACCTTCAGCTGCTACTGAATGTAATTTTCATCTTTGTTTCTCGATGCTTGCCGTTGACCAATGTAAGGGGACCGAGGACCAGTCAAGCTGCATATCGCAGCTTTTTTCCTCGGGCTCCCCATCAAGATTGATGGAAATAAAGATATTATTATTATTATTATTATTAGATCCACACTTTGTAGCCGGGCTGGAATTGGGCGTCGTGGCAACAAAGATTGTACCGACTATCGTCAGCAAGTTGTGCGGTTTGAATCAAAATGCGGGGCGCGGCCGAGCTGCCGGACTTCCTCCGCTCGTTGAGTGACGAACCGAGCGTCCTCGCTTTGTTCGTCTTCGTGGTTGACATCACACTCGTCTTCGGTATAGTCATCGGGTTCGTCATCAAGGTCGCCGTCTAGGTTGTAGTCGGGGTTGTCGTTAAGTCATCATCCGGGTCGTCCTTGGGTCGCCGTCGAAGTCGTTGTCAGGGGTTGTCGTAAAAGTAGTAGTCGGGATCGTCGTTCGAGGCGTCGTCAGTCCCCTCGTCAAGGTCAATAACACTGTTTGTCGTCGAGGCCGTAGTCTGGTTGGTTGTTGGCGTCGCCGGCGGATCCAGCTAGAACTTCGTTTTTAGGATGGGGGGGGGGGGGGGGGGGGGGGGGGGGGGGCGGGGCGAAAAAATTGTAAGGATACTATTCTCCCATTCTTTCTTGTGCACCGGGGGGTCCACCCATGGAAAATTGCCCACCGAGAAGGGAAAGGGGGAGAGGGGAGGCGCCCCCCCCCCCCCCCCTGGATTTACCCCTGGACGTCGTAGCCGGGGTTTGACTTTGGAGTCGTTGTCCGTTTCATCGTCGGCGTCGTCGTCGAAATCGTCATGATCTTATCGTCGAGGTCGTAGCCAGGGGCTTTGTCGAGTTCATAGTCCGGGTCGCTTTCGAGGCCATAGTTGAGGTCGTCGTTGATGTCACAGTTGGCATGCACCGTAGGCATAGATTGCATTACCCCGCACCTCCACCAAAATTTCACGAATAAAAACACAAACTTGATTAATAAAATTTAAATCAACGTTTAATGCGGCGAACTTGTGCCGAGAAACAAAGTAACAAAGACTGCGACGGCGACTTAAGGACGACTGCCTCAAGCACCCATGCGAAGCTCTTTTTGTAAGCGCGTGGGTAACTAGAACTTTCCGAGCTCGAACAATCACAGGGGGACAGGGGGACTGGTACGGGGCCGGAGGACGGGTAGGACCGGACTCGGATGAGACTTTCCTCCTTTCACCATATTGTTCGCGCTGCGCCCGCCAGCGCCAGCACGTGGTCACGCGGTCGCGAGCGGATGAGTTCTCGCTCCTCACTGATGGATCTAGAGAGAGAGCTTCACCGGAACCCCGTGCAAACCCCATTGACGTCACAGCGCACGTGACTCGGAACTTGGCGAGGGAGTTGAGGGGTGCCGAAAACCTCATTCTTTGTCAATTTTTAAAATAAACACTAGGGCATGCAGGCAAAAGCGTTTTTTTTTTTGTTTTTTACTTCAGAAAGGTCGAGACACTAACTCCCAAATTATTTAAGCAAAGCACTGAAACTGTTGCACAGCTCCTTTCTCCGGCGATTTTTGAGCTACCTCAACTAACTATATTTTCTGACTCCTCGGCCCTTACCCTTTCTGGTATGCTATTTAGTATCGTGAAATTCAAAATAGTTATTGCGAAATCGGCAAATGAATATGATGCAAAAACCAACATTCAAATATACCCGCCCTTTTCAGTGCCGTGACGTCAGTGGAAGGCAAGCTTGCCAGTCGGGCGAGCAGTCTAAAAAATAGAATATGCCAATCATTTGTTCCGTGCTGGAACGAACCCCTGCACTTCCACTGACGAGTGAACCCCTGCACTTCCACTGACGTCACTTTTTCGTTGTTGCCAGTAGAGACTTTCAGTATGAAAAACACAGTGAGGACCAAAATTGTAAATTCAATAACTTCGCGAAAAAAAATTATTTTAAGCTAATATTTGGGATACTGTTTTAGCGATGTTGTTTGACGAGTTTAGCAAAATTTCAAGCAAATCGGGGACCATGAAGAAATCGGCGGAGTACCCCTTTAAAGGAGCTGTGCAACGATATTCAATTGGAATGTTTTTCTCTCTACACGAGCTTACTGGCACACCTGGGACTCAAGGATACTCACACACAACGCCATTGGCAAAGAAACTCCTTTGTTGCGGTGTAATTTCAAGGACAAAAGCGATCATTTTCATTAAATCTCTCCTTTGCAAAATTTGATGACGTAACTCGGGGATCGCAGTACACCCAAGTGACGATATTTGAATGCGGTTCATAGATTGGACCCGAGCATTGCGTGGGCACTCGACTTGGGCTCGTGACAATTGCTAGCTCGAGAAGCATTCGGGTTGTGACCCGTGTCCAATCGCTGCAACGACGACAACAGCCGAGCCATAACAATGTCTGGAACTCAGCGCGTGTCCTGCGCTTTGCCAACCCCAGCGCGTGGCTATGATCAACACTGGCGGCATATAATCGGCTCCAGATCACGTGGCCGCTTGTTCTGGCTGCGAGTTGAGGGGGTGAACGCTGCTCGTTTTTCTTAAATTTTTTTCTGGGACTTCTATTGCGTGGGGTGAAAAACGAACGCGTGTTTCATAGGTCATTAACGTTAGGGATCCGTTTTAAGCGGTATTTGTGCACAGTACAAAAATTGTTGCACAGCTCCTTTATTAAAGGGATACTACAGCGAAATTTCGGCTCTCATTTTTTTGTCTATATGTGTTCAAAAAAGCAGCATCACATCGAACATACCAATATCCTGTTAAAAAAGTCGCGAAAATAAATTTTAAAAC